CAATTTGTATCCCCTTGATCTCCTATTGTTGTCTTATTGCTCTAGCTAGAACTTCAAGTACTATATTAAAGCTTTTGTAGTGCAAAAGACACAGTCAATAATACAAAAAGACAGCCTACAGAATGGGAAAAGACCTTCACAAACCCCACATCTGGCAGAGGACTAATCCCCAAAGTATATAAAGAACTCAAGAAACTAGACATCAAAATACTGAACAATCCAATTAAAAATGGGCTAAAGAGCTAAACAGAGAATTCTCAAAAGAAGAATCTCAAATGACTGAAAGACATTTAAATAAATGCTCAACATCCTTAGTCATCAAAGAAATACAAATCAAAACGACTCTAAGATACCACCTGTCAGAATGGCTAAGATAAAAAACACTAATGACAGTATATAATGGAGAGGGTGTGGAGCAAAGGGAACACTCCTCCAATGTTGATGGAAGTGCAAACTTGTACAAGCACTGTGGAAATCAGTATGGCGGTTTCTCAGAAAATTGGGAATTAATCTACCTCAAGACCCAGCCATCCCACTCTTGGGTATATACTCAAGGAATGCTCAATCATACCACAAAGATACATGCTCAACTATGTTCATAGCAGCACTATCCATAATAGGCAAAACCTATAAACAACCTAGATGCTTGTCAACTGAAGAATGGATTAAGAAAATGTGTTACATATACACAGTGGAGTATTACTTAGCAGAGAAAAACAATGACAGAATGAAATTTGCAGGCAAATGGATGGAACTAGAAAATATCCTCCTGAGTGAGGTAACACAAACACAGAAGGATAAACATGGAATGTACTCACTCATAAGTGGATACTAGATATAAAGCAAATAACAGTCAGACTGCAACCCACAGAACCAGGGAGGCTACATAGCTGGGGGGACCCTAGGATGACTGTGGCTTAGAATAAGTTTTGTTTTTACTCAATCAATGGGCAAGCCCCATTTCACTATTAGGATAAGAATTTGTACTGCATCAAGTTGATAATAGAAAAATAAATAAATAAGTATTTTTTAAAAGGAAATTATAGGACTGGGTGTGGTTGGACACAACTAAAAAAAAGATACAAAAGCTAGTTCATAACAAGCCTAATCTATTGGCCAAGTATTTATAGTTAGTATTACGTCTCTCTGCATGGTTATTTAGGGGCAGAGCAGCTGGTGGGACAGAGCTGACCAGCAGTCCAGGCAAAAAACTCTGCCTACACCCTTTCAGTGAAGATGCATTTTGCCTAACTATTATATTTAATAGAATCTATATAAACTTATGAAAAGTATATTTTAACAGTGTACACACACACACACACACACACACACACACACACACACACACACACACATACATATATTTTTTTCTAGATCAATGCTTCCTGTGCTACTATTTATGGAAAATATTCCTTATAGAGAAAATTAAGAAAAGCATTTTTCTATCACAAATGATCCTATTAAATACCCAGTAAACAAAAATAGTTTTGCTGTTAGACAAAATGTATTCATTTTAGTGCATGTCAGTGTCTTCCGTGTCCCAGCGTTACTAGTGAACTGCCCAGAGGAGACTCTGAGATCAAGTCTGGCTTATTTGATCAGTGAATCCTTTACTCCCAGAGCAGTGATAATATCTCTTACAGCTAATGATTGGCTCAATAATTTGAAGACCACTGATGACAAATATGTTGCTAAGACCACTGCACGGGGATCATATGGGAAGCTTCAGTCCACAGGAGCCTGAACCCCACCCAGCATCCAAGGATCCTGTTTTCAACAAGGCCCTGTGGTAGTTTGAGCAGGAATGGTTCTCATAGACTCACGTGCTCGTCCATAGGGAGTGGCACTATTAGGAGGTATGGCCTTATTTGAGGTGTGGCTTTGTTGGAGGATGTGTGTCACTAGTGAGTAGACTCTGAGATCTGAGAGCTCAGGCCAGTTCACTTCCTCATTGGAGAAAACAACATGGGAAAATAGTATTTAGAAAAAGGAAGAAACCTGTCCAAACTGCTTGCTAGAAACTGTAGATGCAGAAACACAACTTTCATCTCAAAGAAGATAAGAGTTCATTTATTCTGGAGCCAAATATGAGTGGCCATGGCCTGGAAACAGATTCTGGGGTTCCCAAATACTATGTCCCAATATGATAACAGGCCCAACAAGTTTTATAGGGATAAAAGCAAGAAAATCACAAACCAAGGCGCTTTTCAAATATATTGATGGAAACACCAGGTGGGCAGGTTCCAGAAATCAGGACAATCTCTGCTATAGGCCTCTGACGCTTTTTGTCTACATTCTTGGCTCTTTGGCTGGTGGAAGCTGCTGTGGGATAATGCTTTTGTACACTGGTTTAATAAAACACTGACTGGCCAGTAGCCAGGCAGGAAGTATAGGGGGGATAAGCAGAGAGGAGAATTCTGGGAAGAGGAAGACTGAATCAGGAGATGCCAGCCCCCCATCCAGAGAGCAGCATGTAATGGCACACAGGTAAAGCCACGGAAAATGTGGCGACATATAGATTAACAGAAATGTCGGAGCTAGTCAATGGTAGGCCTGAGCTAATGGCCGAGCAGTTTTAATTAACAGTAAGCCTTTGTGTGATTATTTTATAAAAGGCTGTGGGACTGTGGGTGAGAGATTTGTACCGACAGCAGGTAAGAGATTTGTCCCAAGCGTGGGCCAGGTGGGACACAGAAAAACTTCCAACTACAGGAAGCTAATGCTCTATGTGTATATTTTGAAAGATTTACCTAATGGTCACAAAGATGAGTCAGACACAGAGATGGGCAAGGAATGGTTATTAGCTGGAGATAAATTATATTTAGTTTCTGGATTTATAACATTCTAACTTCCCCACAATCATTGAAATTCTATCAGTTAAACAGAAGGTTCAGTGTAAGATGGGGTTCATTCTAGTAACTTTCATTCACAACATTAAGTTAAATGAGACATAAGAAAAGACCACTGAATATTGATGAAGATAACCCCATACGACCTTACTGTATGTTTTGATATGTAAATTGAACTGTACTCATTTCTCCAAATGTAACACTCTGTTGTTGTATTGAGAGTATCTCACTAGGAAGCCCTACTTCTCCTGGTACTTCCTGTGTAATCCAGACCAGTCTAAAACTCAACGCAATCCTTTTGTCTTAGCTTCCTAAATGCTGAGATTACAAGTCGGAACCAGAGTGCCCTGTGGTACCATTGTTTTACAGTGTTCACCTTCCCACTTTTACAGGAAGCTACGAGGAAGGAATGGCATAGTAAATTTAGTATGTTTTAGATATAAGCCAAAACCTGACCCATTTTACATTTCTTTACATCTTCATGCTCCAGGGCTCATCAATTGGCTGGTTCAATCATTCATCAGGCCTCAACTCAAATACTCAACTAGTAATACTAGTCTCCAGAAAGGCTTTGTTTCCCTGGCCTCCCAGAGTTGTGTCTTCTAGCTACCATTCATTCCCCTGTTTACTTCTCCTGTAGTTTTTAGAGCTGGAGATAGAACTCAGGACTTCTTGCATGACAAGCACCATCTCCTCCACAGAGCTACATCCATCTCCAAAGAAAACACTTTCAAAAACTGAACTAAAGTGTGACTGAGGACTTCTCTCGCAAATGCTCAAGCAAACTCTCATTTTAGTCGTTGTGTTTCCAATGTCCTACTCTCTCCATCCTGCAACCCGGCCATGGGTCCAGAAACCTCTCTCCCCATTTGGGCACGGATTTCAGGTGCCTAGGATTTGCATGAACTAGAGTTAAAGATTTCTGGATGCTCAAAATTCTGCCTACATTGGTGCAAGGCCTTGCTCTTACCCTAAGTCTTGCCTGTAGTTTCGATTGCTCAGCCTGGGAACCCCAGTTTCCCTTTTCTGTGAGCTACACATCCCTCTTTCTGTTTCCTCTCTACCCCCACTACTCTCCACCCAGCCAAAGAAAGCCTGGAGAAGCCATTTCACATCTCCCAATAGACTTCTGATACCAGTAAAAACAATTCTGAATTTATACACACACACACACACACACACACACACACACACACACACACACACACACTCACTCACTCACTCACACATGTAGTTTCTAAAGACATAGAATCTCTGTTTCCCCAAAATTCCCCATTTAGTTGAAACTAGGACTTAAGGTGTGAAAATAAGCACAGCCAAATGAGGAATCGTTTTTATGAAGTGTAGCCTCCTCTGAGACATGAACATCAGTCTTTTGTTCCCCTGTCAGATCTGTTACAGCTTCCTGCTTGCTTAGCATACAAATCTGAACTACAGTGAATTCTCCTGAGCTATTCTAGGTTAACCACCGTTTTGCTTTCCAAAACAGCTCCTATTATACACACAACTGCAAGATAATTCAATTCTGTGGAGCTGCTGTCTTGATTCAAGGTGTTTAAAGTGGCAACAGCATGTGTTTCATAACTTTTAGATGTTTTTTCATTACAGTTAACACAAACACATTTAGCATTTTGTTTACATAGAAGATTGGAATGTCTTAAGTGAAATGTGTCTTAAATTATATAAGTGTGCAAGTTTTTTTCTCCTTTCTTTCACTCTCATTATCACATCCACAAGAGAAGTGAAAGTAAAACCCAACAATTCTCTTTAGCATTGAGGAAGCGATGGCCAGAGACAGGAGAGATTTGCCTAAAGCATGCCCTGCAATGCTGGGTTATTAAACTGATTATGAGAGGATCACCTTCTATGAATTCCATTATAGAAGTCTACTAGGAAACAAAAGAATTGCTAGAACTACAGTTTGAAAACTAGGCCTCAAACTCAACTAGTAAGAACGCAACAAGATGAAAAATGGATCAAAGGTATACAAAGACACAATCTTGAGGAAAATACGTAAGCAACGAGCATATGAAATCTGAGGTTGTTATTATGTGCACAAAGCATTCACCAGCTTGGACCCATCAACACTCTATCATAGAGCAGGGAGAGGCTCCTAAGATTCCACCCTCCCTACGGAGCTATTGGCAGTTAATGGTTGCTGGGGCAATGGCAGTCCTTCTTCCCCCCACCCCATCCCTAGCAGTAGAACAACTGTTAAGTTGTTTGTGCTCTGGGTATGGAGTAGAAAGATAGCTCAGCCTATAAAGGCTAAGGCTCATAACAAAAGGACAAGTTGACAGCGATCCCGTGAATAACTCCTCACTGGTGACTGTGTAAGTAACCCTTGGTAGACTCAGTGCTTACAAAACAACAGCACAAAGAACAAAATGATGGGAAAATGGGAGTGGACTTGTTGGGAAGCAGGGAGTCGGCAGGGGATGAGAAAGTTTAGTGGAGGAGAGGACAACTGGAAATATATACATATATGGTCAAAGAATAACACATTTTTAAAAGGTAGAAATCGGACGGATGGGGCAGGACAAGGGGAGATAAATAAGAGCAAAGTGACATATATGTATGAAAATGCCACAGCGAAACCCATTATTCCACGATGTAAAACCCATGGTGAAATTACATTGTAGGCTGACTTAATAAATAAATAAACCATTTCCTAAAATAAGACAGCTCACCTAAAAAGTGATTGGACCAAAAGCTCATGGAAATCATCACATGAACACTTATCTTTTGTCTCTCTGTGTTATGAATTAGATTTAAAAGGGGGGTGAAAATTAACAAAAACTAATTATATATAAAAATACCATAAAGAAACCCATTACTTTATAAGCTCAAATGAAAAATAATTGCATAATTAAAATTGATAAAGGTAAATACTATTTGCTTTGTGATCTGTCTTAAGTTCACATTTCAGTCACGAGGTATGCAATGTAGAAGATTAAGAAATATGTTTAGGCAGTAGAATTTGTGAGTTTATATCTTTTTTTGCCTAGTGATAAAATAGTGTAAATTATATTTCTGAGTTGTCTTGTTTTGAAGCAAGGCAGCTGGTATTGGTGTGTGTGTGTGTTTGTGTGTGTGTGTGTGTGTGTGTGTGTGTGTGTGTGTGTGTGTGTGTTTTCTGACAGGTATTGGTTAAGGTCTAGCACAAATTCTAATTGGTCTTAATAATCAAAACCCAGAGTCAGATGTTAGGGTGAAAGCTGATAGATCAGAGAAGCAGAGGAGCCAGCCACTAGAAACACACCTTTCCTCTAGGAATCCTCAGACTGAAAAGGGGTGAGTACCTGTTTCCTCCCACCTTATATTCCTCTCTCCACCCAACCATATCACTTCCTGTCTCCACCTCCTAAGTGCTGGGATTAAAGGTGTGTGCCTTCCAAGTACTGGGATCAAAGGCATGAGATCCTAAGTGCTGGGATTAAAGGCGTGTGCCACCACTGTCTGGCCTCTGTGGTTAACTAGGGGCTAGCTCCACACTCTGATCTCCAGGCAAGCTTTATTTGTTGGAGCACGAACAAAATATCACCACAAAGATCTAACACAGAGTATCCGTGGAGCCAGACTCCCAGTTCTGTGCTTTGCAGCCCACCAACACAAGTGCAATCTTTCGAAAAATTACAGATACTGTGAGGTAAAGGAGGAAAGCACGGAAGTATGGAAATTATAGAAAGTGTTCTGAGGTTATCTGGTGAGAGCATTTATAGTGTCCACCACAGCTGTTATCATCAAAAGCAACACACACACACACACACACACACACACACACACACAAAACTGTGTGAGACTGGGTGCCCTCCCACATAGCTCAGAACAGTGTTTGTGTGACAAGCAGGCGATGGAGTGACATGATCATGCAGCCCTACATTGCAGGGCAAGTATCGGAGCTGCAGGGGCGGGCGGAGGGGGGGGTCATCCCATTAGAGAGCAGCAGCGGTGGTGAGTAAGGTCAAGTGTCATGAGAAGCCAGCCAGGGAAACACTTTGGAGTTTACTGGAGTCACAGTGGAACTCCCAAAGAATCAAGAGGATGGGATTTGGGCAGACATGACGGCAATTCCTTGGACTGGTCCTCTTGGAGACAGGTGTGGCTTTGTGGGAAGACAAAGGACAACCTTGTTTTCTGCTCTAATTGCTATTAATGAGTCCAAATAAAAATTTTAAAAGTTATTGATCACAGGCTGGGGAGATGGGTCAGTGTTGCACAAGCATGAGGACCTGAGTTTAGATTCCCAAAACCATTAAAAAAAAAAAAACAAAAAAACAAAAACGGTGTGGCAGCATATCTGTAATCCTGTGCTGGAGAGTGGAGACAGGTACGTCCCCAGAGCTCTCTGTTTGGCCAGTCTGGCTGAAATGGTGAGCTCCAGGTTCACTGAGAGTCCCTGACTCAATTGAGACAGAGAAGCAATTGAAGACAGCCCGTCATCCTCTGGTTTCCACATGTACCTGCCCAGCAGAGCTCATCTATATCCACTCCCCTTCTTTCCACCCCCTCCACACAGACACCCCAAAAAAAAGTTATTAATGAAACTTTACAAACACAAATTTAAAGATGTTTGACTTACCTTTTCATTTGGTGCCAGTATTCATATGTACTGTGTTGCTTCATCCTTCCAGGTAGGAAATCTAACATGATTTCAGTCATGCCTCCATATTGACATTGCCATGGAGGTAAGGTGGTGGTTTTAATGTTGGTTTTGTTTATCTTGTTGTTTTGTGTTTTGTCAGTCATTTATCTAGTGTTCTCTACCCATGGTGTTTATAAAACTATCAAAAATGATAATCATTCTACAAATACATTTTAAAGGACTATATTATATGGATATGAGGGAGAAAAACAGGATGGAAAAGAATGGGAATGTGTATGAATGATAAGCATGAGATTCAGAGTAGTGGTTTGTCTTTTTTTTTTTTTTTTTTTTTTTTTTTGGTTTTTTTGAGACAGGGTTTCTCTGTGTAACAGAGCCCTGGCTTGTCCTGGAACTTGCTTTGTAGACCAGGCTGGCCTCGAGCTCACAGAGATCCTCCTGCCTCTGCCTCCCAAATGTTGGGATTAAAGGCAAGGGCCACCATGCCCGGCTTAGTTAGGGTTTCTATTGCTGTGAAGAGACACCATAACGACGGCCACTCTTACAAAGAAAACCTTTGACTGCGGTGGCTCGCTTACAGTTCAGAGGTTCAGTCCATTATCATGGCAGGACAGGGTTGTGTGCATATAGACATGGTGCTGGAGAGGTAGCTGCTACTTGTTGATAGGCAGGCAATAGGAAGTAGACTATTTCACTAGGTGTGGCTTGAGCACATTATGAGACCTCAAAGCTATCCCCAGTGACACACTTTCTCCAACAAGACCACACCTCCTAACAGTGCCACTCCCTTTGGGGGCCATTTTCTTTCAAACCACCATATGATTATTTGTGGGAAGAGGAATGGGAATGGGGTCTGGAAGGAGTAAACTATGATTTTTGTATGCCTGACATATTGTATATTAATAATCCAAATAATGAGTGATAAATATAGGTTTTTTGTTTTGTTTTGTTTTTGCTTCAGAGCCTGTCTTGGAACTCGCTCTGTAGACCAGACTGGCCTTGAACTCACAGATATCCACCTGCCTCTGCCTCCCAAATGCTGGGATTAAAGGCATGCACCATCACCTCCCGGCTTAATACTTTCTTGATGTGCCCTAAAGTATCATATTAGGGATTACCCATCTATGCTTCATTTGGAACATGTAACAACACTGAAGACTTAAATTTACAGTGGCAGGGGAATTAAGGAGTAAAACAAATCAATTACTGAGTTAGTTAAATGGCAGCTGAATATGTGCTATTATTTGTTTAATGTGGGAGTCCCTGGGAAATTGTTATCTGTTCTGGAACTACATTTTAGGACACCCTAAGCCACCATTTGATTGTGAGTACAATGTTTAAATTCTCACTCATGTGTGTGAAATGGATGACTTGATATGCATTCCAACAAAACTTCTCTTCAGGCTCTTATGTGCCAGACACTAGATATGCCAGAAGCTAATTAAGACATAGACCATGGCCTTCAACAAAGCAGAATGGTATTATGATGATAATAGCTAACATCATTAATACCTTTATTAATGCTAAGCACACTGCCTGTGATCTCATTAAGTCCACAGAACAGCCCTATGAGGGAGGGACCATTAATATCCCCAATCACAAATGAAAAAAAGGAAGTTTTCAGAGTGAGTTTCCCAAGATTAACTGAAGCTGAACAAAGATAATAACCTAGAAGATAATAATTATAAAATCTGAATGTCTGCACTGGGTATATGACAAAAATCAACAGAAAAGTTTACACAGGAATCTAGAAGAAAAACTATTCCTCTAACTACAAGATTCAGTAAGGGTTTCCACTGTGTAGCTGCAGTCTCAGAATTGAAACATTGCCTCCCAGGAGCAGTCATATTAAGACTCAGGAAGTAATGAAATTTACAAGGTTCAAGAAGTAAACAAAACTCACAAATCTTGCTCTGGACACGTAAAAGTTATATAAGCAGTTCTATACAGTGGAGAAAGGAGACTCTTAGGGCGTCAGCTGTCTACAAATCACACAGAAAACCCTTCCAGTGCTACTTCTGTGGGTCATTACCCACACTGTCATGCTGGTCCCCCCCCCCCAATGCCGCTGCTGTTCTCCTATGAGCGACTCTTCAACCAGACTCCTGTGAAAACCCCAGTCAGCCCACTAGTTCACCAAGACAGACTCGGACACAGGATTTTAATACTCCTGTGAAAACCCCAGTCAGCCCACCAGTTCACCAAGACAGACTCGGACACAGGATTTTAATACTCCTGTGAAAACCCCAGTCAGCCCACTAGTTCACCAAGACAGACTCGGACACGGGATTTTAATACTCCTGTGAAAACCCCAGTCAGCCCACTAGTTCACCAAGACAGACTCGGACACAGGATTTTAATCTCAGCAGAAACTGCTGCACAACAATGGACCCCCAAGATTGCGAGTCTATGAAATTAGGTAACCTCTGTTCACAATAAGTTTGACATTTATTTGTCTGTTTGCTTGGTGGGAGGTGCGTGGCACAGCATATGCATGGGGTGGAAGATCACGTGGATGAATTGGTCCACTCATTTCACTGTGTGGGTTCTGGGGATCAAATTTGGGTCATCTGACTTGTTGGCAAACACCTTTACCTACTGAACCATCTCATCAACCTTCATGATAAACTTAAAATATAGCTACAGATTTTGAGCATATCTACAGGAAATTAGATTAAAAAGCATATGAGTCACTTAAAAAATGTAAGGCTGGAGAGATGCTTCAGTGGTTAAGAGCACTGGCTGTTCTGCCAGAGGCCTGAGGTTCAATTCCCAGCACCCCCATGGCAGCTCACAACAGTCTGTAACCCCGGTTCCAGGGGATCTGGCATCCTCACACAGACGTACACGCAGGAAAACAGCAATGCACATATAAAAAAAAATTTTTAAAGACAGCTTTAAAAAGTCAGGTCTAGGGAAGTTTTGAAAAGCCATGATTAAACCACTAACAAGTGAAAGAGAAATGAGTTTGGAAACTAGCTAGGGAAGTTCTGGGGAGGATCTGGAAAGAGTTGGGGGGGGGGGGGGGGGGGGGGGGTGGGGAGGGAATGAATGAGATCAAAATATATTGTCTGATATTCTCAAGGAATAAATAAAAATTATTTTTTTAAAAAAAGGGAGTAGACCTTCTCACGTGGGTAAAACTGTGTAAGGAATGTTTTGCTTATTTCCTCATTATGAGGCAGCAGAGGCAAGGAAACTAGCACATTTATCCTACAGCCATATTACCATCAGTTCCTATTTATACCTACTGAAATATCCCCCAAACACACAGCTTATTTGACTTCTGTAGTTCCCTTTAGCTGTATCAAGAGGCAGTGTTAGGAGATTACCATAGGGACTATCCGACCTTTTACATAATTAATTGCTCTTTGAATAACTGTGGGAACCATATGTAAAATATCACCAAAGCCACAGCTTGAAAGATACTCTGACTCAAATTATTGCAAAACGTTAACAGAATTGGGTGAGGCTCCTAGAGAGGAGGGCTGCTAGTATGTTAACTATGCAAAATTTACTGCGTACCCATCGCATGAGACACTACCAGAACAACCCTGAGTCCCCAAGATACTGTTGATGAGGCAGGTGCTGTGGACTGGATTTCTGGCATGCCAGAGCAAACACCTCCATTAAATGTTATTCTGTGGAAAGTGTCGAGACGTTAAGGAGAAAGATGTTACAGTGGAAAAAATAAGGGATATTGAATAAAATGTCTAGGTTTCAGTCATTGTAGGAGTTATGCAGCATTGGATAAATTATTGAACCTTGGTTTGGAGGGACAGTGATACTTAAGCACATACAATTGCAGGGAGTGATAAGTGAAGCGAGGACGTAGAAACTATAAAAGAGGAAATTGATATTGATTTCTAGCTCATGCGGTCCTTGGCCAGACACTGCCCCTCACTTTCATGCTGTCTCCACAGGTTTATCTTCAACAGGACACTGGCTGTTTCCTGAACATGTCAGCTTACTTCCTCTTCCTGTTCTCTGCACATGGACACTTCAGTAAGTCACTTAATGATAGTGTTCTGGGACCCAAACAGCTATTTGAACTCTTTAGAGTGCTCTCCCCTGTCATTTACACACAGCTGTCAGACTGATGCCGCTGAATGCATTTCTGTTCATGTCATGACACTGTTCAAATGCTTCCGATGGCTTCTCACTTTCTAATTATTAGAGTCTTAACTCCCAGCTAAACGGCAAGTCCTTGCTAAACAAAGTGTAGTTTCTGGCAAGTGGCACTCCTCCTACCTGGGAGCGTGTAAGAAATACAGATTCTCTGACCCCACCCAGGCCACCTGAACTGACAACTAAAGTTTAGAAAGACTTCAGTCATCCTGTGTCAGCTTTGACTGCATCTTTACTTTTTTTAAATTTGAAGCTTTAGGTGTAGAGTTGCCAGATTTGGCAAATAAAAATAAGAGACATCCAGTAAAAATTGAAAAGAATGAATAATGTTTTTTAGTATGTCTCAAATCCTTCATGGGACATTTACCTTAAAAATTGATTGTACGCAATTGAAAAATTTACTGGGTGGCCTGTATGCATTCTGGCCAGGCAGTTCATGAGGATAGAGATCCAAAATAACAACATTATATTTCCTTCCAAAAGTACAATGCCTGCCCTAACTCAATGCTTAATTAATAGAGGTAAGCTTAAGAGTAGCTTCTCTGGGGTTTTTGTTTATTTTCTTACATTGTTTATTCCTAAGAACTAGTACAGAGGTCTTCCTACCATAAAAGACCAATAAATATTTGTTGGACGAATACATGAAAATATCAAGAGTCATTTTCCAATTATGGACTGGATTGTGTATGCCTATTTTTAATTAACAGGGTTTTTTCCCCCCCTAATATTTAAACATGTTTAATTGGTACAGCTTTTTCACAATTTCGCTGGCAGCGTTCAGGATCTGTTGGGAACAAAGTCATGGGCTCAGAATGTACTCGTCGCCAACGGGGTCCATATGGTCATCCCAGGGTACGAGGACGGCAGGAGCAGAGCAGGCGAGAAGAAGCTACCATAGCAATCGGGCTTCGGAGGCGGCGCGCACGCGCACGGCGGGTCTCAGGCCTGCGCTCGGGACGGGGAGGCGGAGCTCCGGGGGGGGCGCGTGCGCGGCGGCGGCCTAGGCTGGGGGTGGGG